AGCAGAGGGAATTGGATTTGGCCTGGGAACCCAGCCGCTAGCCCACTCTGCCTTGGTTCTCTGAGACAGGAAGAACTGACTGCTCATTCTTACTGACAGGGTGATACACCACAGGCCAGGTCAGCCTAACTCCATCCCAGACACAGGGCCAAGTAAACCCACTCCCTGAGTCTGTTTCGTGGTGGTCCTGTCTTAGCCCAGCTTTTCCTTCCGGTCCATTTGGAGGTTCCCCAGGCCACACCTGCTCCATTACCACATCCTGCCACCTCCCTGTCATGGTTTGGCACTGAAATGCCTCCCAGAGGCCACATGCTAATGGCTTGGTGGCCAGCATATGATGCTGCTGGGGCAACATGACCTTTTAAAAATACTTTGCATTATTTTTAGTTATGTGGCTGTCTATGTGTAGGTGTATGGACGTCACTGCAAGTGCCCAAAGAGACAGAGGAGTTGAGTGCCATAGAGCTGGAGTTACAGGGAGTCGTGTTCCACCAGACATGGCTGCTGGGAGTTGAACTCAGGCCTTTGGAGGACCAGTACATGCTCTTAATATGTGAACCATAGCTCCAGCCCAAACGGTGAGGGAACCTTTAAGACGAGGGACCTAAAAAGCTGGGTGTGGTGGCACATACCTTTAATCCCAGCACTCAGGAGGCAGAGGCAGGCAGATCTCTGTGAGTTTGAGGCTAGCCTAGTCTACAGAGCCAGTTCCAGGACAGCCAGGGCTACACAGAGAAACTCTGTCTGGGAAGAAGAAGAAGAGGAAGAGGAGGAAAGAGGAAGGAGGAGGAGGAGAAGGAAAAAGAAAGAAAGAAGACAAAGAAGGAGAAGGAGAAGAAGAAGGAGAAGAAAGAAGGAGAAGGAGAAGGAGGAGGAGGAGGAGGAAGAGGAGGAAGAGGAGGAAGAGGAGAAGGAGAAGAAGAAGGAGAAGAAAGAAGGAGAAGGAGGAGGGGGAAGAGGGGGAAGAGGAGGAAGAGGAGGAGGAGGAGAAGGAGAAGGAGAAGGAGAAGGAGAAGGAGAAGGAGAAGGAGAAGGAGAAGGAGAAGGAGAAGGAGAAGGAGAAGGAGAAGAAGAAGAAGAAGAAGAAGAAGAAGAAGAAGAAGAAGGAGAAGAAGAAGAAGAAGAAGAAAGAGGACAGACCAAGTGCCAGGAAGTGAGGTCATTAAATCCACAAAAGGAAAGGAATTAGAGGTCAGTTCTTTTCCTCTATTTCTTTGTTGCCCTGCCCTTCTCCCCCTCCCTCTCCTTCTCTTTCCTTCTATCCTCCCCTCCTCCCTTCCACCCTCCTTCCCGCTTACCCTGCTTCCCTTCCTCCTCCTTGGCTGTCCTGAGAGCCCTTTCCTCCACCATTAGTTAGGGTGCCTCACCTCAGACCCACGGGACCGACTGATCAATAACGGAAAGCTCTGAAACTGTAAGCCAAATCAAGTCTCTCTGGTCTATAAGAAGAGCCCTGCTCCCTGGTTCTGTGACTGCCCTCACCAGCCGCCCCAGGTCACGGTGTTTTAGCATACAGGCAATTCCACTGGCCTGCTCTCAGGGACCTAACACCTGTTTAGATCATGACCTGAGGCTGCATCTGGGCATTGACAGGTATGTGCTGCCCATAAAAGAATTCACTCATCTGCCCAGCTCTCTGTTCTCAACATTCCCTCTCCCTGTTCTCTCTTTCGGAGGACCAGTACATCCTCTTTCCCTCTCTTCCCTGTCTGCCCACTCTCTCTGCCCTCATGACTCTGCTCCCTGGCTGTCTGCCTGTCTACATGTTCACCCGTCTACCTCTACCCCTTCCCCAGATCCTCACTCCTCTCCCCTCCTCAATAAACCTCTTTTACACCACGTCTGTTGCGTGGCCTAATTTCTTAAGGGTGCACCTCGGCATGGGCCCGCCAAAGGTACCCCCTTACCACATTATATCTCATAACACCCTGTCCTACCTGCTTTACCCACGGGAGAAGACAGCTGAGTCAGTTCTGATCCTGCTTCAGGCCATCTGGAATAAGTTCCCCATCTCACCAGACTGGGGACTAATTGCAAAGAAGAAAAGATACGGGATGACATTAGTTTTTAATGTGAGGTGGGATGAAATGGAAAGATACTCTGCCTCCAGAGTCTCTCACGGGCCAGACAGATGCCTCTGAGGGTAAGTATTTGAGTTCAACCCCTGGGATCCACATGGTAAAACATAAGAACCAACTCCTGGAAGCATCCTTTAACTTGCTCATGAGTGCATGTGCCACACGCGTATACAAATAAAATAAGCAAATAATTTTAAAGAAGAGTATCTCACATCTCCCAACAGAGTCAAGTACAAAGCATGCATACAGACATCAGTGTCTCACACGTGCACATAAATGCCTACATGCAAGCATACTCACAGGGACCTATGAGTGTGTCAGCCTCTGCTGTAGTCAAGACAATCTGACGTCACCAGGAACCCAGGAAGGGAGGTAAGAGTCCAGGGGATGGCTACAGAAGCTACTAGACCTGAGATGTCATGTTCTTAGGATCAAGTTTTGTGCGCCTGTCTCTATTCACGACTACTGCTTCTTGGAGAAGAAACTCTGTCCTGAGATTCCCAGAATCCTAAAGCTGCTTCTAGGCCAAGCCTGGAGGGCAGAGATGGAAACTTTGCTACACTTGGCAAGGAACAACCTCAGGCATCTTTAGCACAAACCTCCTTAAAAAACTGAGGCCAGGAAAAGATAACTGTTTTCCTGGAATCTGAGAACTGCAGGGTCAGAGTGCTCCCAGGATCCATCCCCCTGTGGTGGATGTGTTGACAGCCGTGTGTACATGTGTGTACATATTGAAATTGTGATACTCATGGGAAAGGACTCCAGGTTCCCTCCAGACACCAAACATCCCCAGCAGCCCTGGGGATGCTGAATTCTCTCAGATAACGTGGCATGGCATTTGCAGGAAGCCAGTGCACCTGCTCCTGTATGATCCTGAGCCTGATTCTGTCCTCCCGTGACTTACAACAGTTAATACAATATTAATGATATGCAAATTAATTACAGTAATTGATAGTAACAGGAAACATCTGTACTTATTCAGTTCTAGTGCAGTGCTTTCCCAAGCCATAAGGAAAAATAATGGTTTGAGACAGCGTGGTGCTATGGAGCCTGGCTATTCTTAACCCCCTCATTCTCTGGGCTCAGCCTCCTGAGCGCTGGGATTTATGGGAAGGTATCTCTCTGCCAATCCAATGTTGTTGTTCGTGGTTAGTTGACTCCACAGCTGTGGGAGCCCTGGATGTGGCAGGCTAACTGTAGCATGACCATCTGAACCACTGTAGCATAAACTGTGAAGATATGGATATTAATTTAGAGGACAGTTGATACTCTGTATCTCTCAGAGAAGTTTCGCTGTGCAGGGGATGGTGGGTAACCCAGAACTTACAACTAGCCAAGGTGCCAGTAGTTGAGTGTACAGTGTTCAATCACAAATGGAACATCTACAGCATGCTTCTTCCCTGGGCTTCAGGTCTGGTTTTTCCACTAAGTGCATGGGCCAGTTGTGTGTAAGTATTCATGTATGTGTGTACACCTTTGTGCACAGATGTGTGTGTGTGCACGCGTGTGGAGGCCAGGGGTTGACATGAATAACCCCATAACCTTCCACTGTATTATTAAGACAGTGTCTCCTACAGAACCCGGCTGGCTGGCAAGTCTGAGGATTCTTCTGCCCACCTCCACCCCCATTCCCCCAGCTAGGATAATAGGTATGGTGGCTTTTTACTGTGGGTGCTGAGAATCAAACTCAGGTTGTCACACCTGCATGGCAAACACTTTACCGACCTGAGCCTTCTACCAAGTTTTTGTCTTTAAAGTAGTTTGCATTGAAGTAGTTCAGGTGCCATTTATTAGTTCTAAGGCTGTTTTCCTCGTGGGGTTGTGACAAGGGTCACACATCTGTATCAGATGCAGTGATGTCGAAGGCGTGAGGCCCTTTGTGCTCAGAGAAGAACAGAGAAGTTTCTCCTAGAGAAACCAGGGATCTCATACAGGCAGGCGTTTCACACCAGAAAGAGTTACACCGATTTCTGGCTTGGATTGGATGTATTTGATAGTCTGCTACAGACCTTTGCTGTCTGTAGAGCCGAATCCCCAGCCGCTTCCCAGACCCCAAGCATCGTGTTTCAGTCAATTAGAACTCGTTCTTGTGGAAGAGGTCACAGGTACTTTGCAAAAGATATGTTTGTTGTCAAGTCGAGGGGTTTTAATGTGGTCACACCTTAAGCTTTGTTGTAGTAAATGTCACCAAGGAACTTTTTCCAAGGTTGTGCTATGTTTAACGATGTCAAAAATGAACTGCTTGAGTCAGACTCCAGAGGTTTGAACCAGCACCTGCTAACAAGTTGTGTTGAACCGGATTTCCTTCTTGCCTTGTGTGAATCATTACTCTGCAGGCTGGTGGTGGACTTGCAGACACCGACCCCCAACACACATGCACACGCACACGCACACACACACTAGAAGACAGTCTGGGACAGGAGGGAACCCCATGGGTACAGTCATTATGAGTCTATTGTATTTGGGATGTCTGCTGGGTAACCCAGCACATGCTCTGGGGCTTCTCACAATGGCTTAAAGTCATCAGCACTCACTAGTATGGCATGCACCTTACAGATGAAGGATCAAGGCCAAGGGCAGGCTATTCTGATTCACAGTCCTGCAAGTATAGATGCCTGTGGTCTTCCAGGTCTGGGCTCAGCAGTGACCACTTAGGGTAGAGCCTGTCACAGAGCTGGAAAGGAGAGATGGAGGGGCTCATTGGCAGGACTGGGAGTGAAATTCAGGGCCTGGCAAGCATTCTTACCCTGAGCAAAGTCACGGCCCAGTGTGTGTAGAGGAAGATAGGAAAGTGAAATGTCAGAACAGGATACTTCTCAGCAAGGCCCTTATTCCAGGAAATTGACTTAGAAGCTGGGCTTCAGCTTTAGGGCGTGCTTTGAGGTTAAGATGAACCAGTTTCATAATTCGGATCCCGCCTCCAAGAGCCACCACAATCCAACCTTTGGCCCAGTTGGTAAATAAAATCTTCCCTTGCTTCTGTTCCTGCTCTGCCCAGACCCTGGTCACAGCACCCGCTGGACTGATTGGAGGGCTCCTGGAGAGGTAAGGGCTGAGCCTGGGGTCATCCTCTCTCTGAGAGACAGCGGGCAGAGGAGGGGAGGGCTGCTTCTGGGACCCTAATGGACAAGGAGACCAGGGGAACAAGAAGCTAGTCACTACCTGAGGAAAAATAGCTGACAGGGTTCTAAGCTCAAGCAGCTAGGAACTAGGCAGTCGGGCAGGGTCTCAGGTTCAGCTCCTTACATATGACAATCCACTGGGACCCTCATTGGCTCAGATGTGCCAGTAAGGGGCGGGGGAACTACCTTCTAATCTACCCAAGTTCTCTTCTTGTTTTTTTTTTTCTTATCCTGTGTGTAATTATGAAAAGTCCAGAGATGGTGGATCCTTAGCAAGGAATTCACTAGCTAGCTGTTCCACAGACAGAAACACTTCCAACAGCCAGCTAGATTCTGTGGAATTAAAAGGCCCCTGGGTCTGCCTCTCTGTACTGTGCCTACACTACTGAGATTGTCTGTCTTCTGTAGGGAGGACAGATGGAGCTTCTTCCCTGCTGACCACCCTAGCCACTTGGACCTTGGAGGAGAGCAGGGCAATCTTTTCAGACATCACCACAGCAGAATCTGCCACGGTACATTCCGGTCTTCCAGCCGGCTCTTGGCAGAGGAAGGCCGCTATGGGTCAAAGGTGGAATAATCAGGCTGGACACCGAAAAATACCCAGAGGGGTGGGGTGGGGTGGCCTCTGTGTCAGAGAGCTTGCTAGAATGTGAGTGGCCTGGGTCTCTCCCAACAGTGTGTGCGTGGTGGGGGTGGGGTGGGGGTGGAGGTGGGGCTGGGAGGATGATAATGGTGATCTGGTGTGTGCAGTGAGGGCACAAAGGCCTGCCGAGCATTCTCGAACATTCTCCTCAGCCAAACTTCTCATCTCTGCCTTCTTCTCCCGAGTGGTGACACTGTGTGGCTCAGTTTCTACTTGTCCTCTCTGCCTTTCTCACCTGGTTTGCAGCTTGAGCTGCTCCCTCCAGTCTCTGGCTGGACACTTACTCATCCCTTGCCTACATCCCATCAGTGGAATGGCTAATGGCGGCTTGAGCTCAACCGGCAGCCAGCCTCCATCTTGCCCACCAACATATGAGCACCCGGCAGCCTTTGGAACAGTGCAGGGGTCAGCAGCACAGTTGTTCACATCTTGGGCTCTATATTGCTCTTGACTCTTATACCCCGATGTGCACAGGGGGAGTCTAAGGGTTCCAAGAACCTGGTGTAAGCTGTCACCCATTCACTCCAAGGATAGCAATGCTATTCTTCCTGAGAGTCTTTTTGCTTCCTCTTCACAACCTGAAAATCATCATCCCCACACTGGCCCTCACACCCAAGGCCATCGTGTCCCTAATATCCTTGCAAACAAGGGCTCTGGAGATCTTGGATCTGATATCTGGTCTCTGACAGTAACAAAGGTGGCTGACACAGAGTTCCTGTGCTCCTGGGATTTCCTGGACTCTCCTGAGTCCTTTTGGGTTTTGCATGTGAACAACAAAGCCATTGGCTGAGCCAATCTCCAGCCCTCTTCCCTTCTGGAAGCCTAATCATAGTTGGTTGTTCTGGCCACCCCTCCCTGACCCCTAGGGACTTTCCCACAGTCACCTCATTACAGAGCCCCATGGTTGAAAGGACTTTCGCATGAGCACTCGTGATCACCATGATCTCTATAGCACTGTCCCATGGGAAAAACCAAGGGTCCTAGTTAGTTATACCAAGAACAAGGAAGTCACTGGTTGTAGTTCTTGACACAACAGGGAAAGATCCTGAGGCTGGCAAGATAGTTCAGCAGGTGAATGTGTCTGCCACCAAGCTTGCCGATCTGACTTTGATCCCTAGAACCCACATGGTGGAAGGGGAGAACCAGTTCCTATTTTGTGCTGGGTGTTCCCTTGGGTGTGCTTGCTGCACATAGGCTATTCATTAATTAAAAAGCAATAGTTTGCAGATATTATGGTTAGTATAAACCATGGCTTGGTATGATTTCATTTCTGCATAACCTAAAATCTTTCCCTACTTGAATTTTATAATGTTTTATGATATTAGCAACAAATTTGCTTTCTATATTTCAGTTAGAAGACAATCTGCCTTGTAAGGACATGGCTTTGGTGCAGACGCGAACACTGAGCCATCAGACAGGGGAGGAATATGAGGCTGATGTTGAGTTGCAAAGGTAACCCAAGGGGTGGGTTTCTTGGGAAGGAGGGGCTGGTTGTATCGAAGGCAGCATATGTTCTCTTGATTAGGAATAACCACTTGTCCTGGCCACTGTTCTATTGTTGTGAAGAGACACCACAACCAAGGCAACTCTTAAAAAGGAAAGCATTTAATTGGGGCTTGCTTACAGTTTTAGAGGTTAGTCCATTACCATCATGGTGGGGAGCCTGGCAGCACCCATGGCACTGGAGTAGTAGCTGACAGCCTTACATCCTGATCCACAAGCAGGCAAACAGAGAGAGATAGAGGCCTGGAGAAAACCTTTGAAACCTCAGAGCCCACCCCCGATGACACACTTCCTCTAACAAGGCCACACCCACTCCAACAAGGCCACACCCCCTAATCCTTCTGATCCTTTCAAACAGTTCCACTCCCTAATAATTAAGTATTCAAATACATGAACCTGTGGGGGCCATTCTCATTCAAACCACCACACCACTCCAGGGTCACTGTGTGGGAAGAGGGATTTATCCTCTCAAAATCTCCATTATGCTGAGGAAATATTTTTCCCTGAGGAGAAAATACTCCATGAGGCCAACTATAATATTTTGGAGAGTTATGTAAACATTTAGTCAAATGTACAGTTGGTCTCCAAGGACTAGGACAAATGGAGCAGAGACCATGGATGGGGGGTGGGGGGGAGGGGGAAACAACAGGGAGGGGGTCGGAAACCCTGTGACTACTTACGGAAATCACACTGGGACCAGCTATGAGGAGGCAGATCAACTTTACTTGGGGTAATTCAAGGCTTATATAGTTTTGGGGACAGAGGTCAGAATATCCAGGATGGACAAAGATCACTGGCTGAAGGCATAAGGTACTGAGATACCTCATTAGCATGAGGAAGCATTCCAGAATCTCAGGTGCTAGCTGGCCAGGTTCTTATCGGGAGAAAGGAAGTTGAATCTGTAATCTAGCTAAGGCCACCTGACGTTCTACAGATAGAGGCATGTGGTGGCGGTGGTGGAGTTTGAACTTCCCAGACAAGGTCAGAGAAGGGGAAGCCCTGCTGGTAAAGGGAGTCCTCCATTTTGTAAGGAGCCTGGAAGGCTATCTGGACAATGGTAGGTTTCAACCTTAATTAGCAGGGCACATGATAGATGTCACACATTAGTCCACAGCTGGACCCCAGTATCCTGCTGCAGCTTAAGGGAGGGCAACAAGGGAGGTGGAATTTCACAGACCTGAAGTAGGGGCTTATTCTATGCTGGGGACTGGACTACCCAATGCAGAAGGTTCTGGACACAGCAGGACACAGCTTCTACTGCCTAAAGCCATGTCAAAAGGAAACATCATAGCCATGCAGCATGTATGCTGTAATGGTAGATCCATGTCATGTGATCCATGTCAACCACCTCAGGAGGTGTGCCACGTAGTCAGGTTCACGATGGTTACACCTTCACGCACAAGGACCCACCTCCTTTTTCAAATCATCATTGTAGACACAGCATCAATATTTTACAAGATGTTATGTCATCTAGACTCTACGTTCTAGAGATTATTCAAAAGTCAGGGGCTGCTGGACAGTAGCAGCATATGCCTTGAACCTTGTTACTTAGGAAGCAGAAGCAGGCAGATCTGGGTTCAAGGCCAGCCTAGTCTACTATATAGTGAGTTCTAAAACAGCCAGGACTACATAGAGAAACCCTGCTGAAAAAAACAAAAAACAAAACAACAACAACAACAATAAAAAACTCAAACCAAACAACTGCAAAGGTCAGGGCCTGCAGGCAGGCTTTATATATAAATATGTATAAGTTCAGGGCAATTTATCCACAGGACTTCAGTACTGGAGGACCTTAATATCTGTGAGGGACCTGGTCATGGCACAGACTATCCTTTAGTGGGAAATCCTGACTCCAGCTGACCAGAGAGAAACAGCAGGATTCTCAGGGAGACTTAGGCTCTGCTGCATCCTGACCTAGAGGCCGGGAGCCTCTGTGAGATCCCTTTCCTTCTTAGGCACTGGGTTTCTCCTCTGGCTGTTCCCAGCTGTGGATTTCTGGGGCTCTGTGTTATCACCAGCCTTCTCTGCTCTCCTAAGGAGTCCATATGGGGCAAGTGGAACTGTGTCACCAGACAGAAAAACTGGTAAGGTCAAGCAGATTAAGGAACCCCAGCAATTCTCATAATTGAGAATGGAAGGCTTTTGAGTCTGCTCCTGAACAGATTCCTGTCATGGAGCACGTGACCACGATACCCCACCAAGAGGACCTTAACAACTGGTCACATAGCACAGAGCCCAGAGTTCTGCATGCTAATGAGGTATCTAGATGGGCCAGTCTCCGGGGTTCAGCCAATAAGCTTCCCTTCCTGGACATTCCTTCCTGTAAAAGGTATTTACTCTCTGGTCCACCCTGAGTAAGTTGTATGTATCCATTTTCCCCACCACAAATAAACAGTTTGGACAAGCAAGGACTGTCTCTCTCATCAATGACTGCTTTGGGTGGAAGCCTGCATTATGGGGCCACTGCCCCCCAACCCTCACCCCTCCCAGAGGCATTTGGGTGCTGAGGACTTTGGGAACCACAGCCTCGGTACTAGCCTGTGCCCTTTCTCACCCAGAGAAACACGGGCTGGGGCCCCAATCTTAGGCTGCATCCCACCTCTCCTGAGGGGTGTATCAGTGGCATATCCAACGAGCCCAGCACCCCAATGGCAGCAAGGAAGGAACATAGCGCCTCTTCGTTTCATCGCTCTGAGTGTAGTCCCTGCACCCCAGCGGCGAACCACAGACCCATAGTCCCATGAGTGACACTTAGCTTGGAAAGGGACTTGGAGGATCCAGCTTTGCCCTTCTCAGTACCACCCTCTGTGGAAGCCAAACTCCACTGGATGGCAAATACAGCTGACCTCTGTATCCTGTAACATGCTAGCTAAGGGAAGAAAGGGCTTCTTTGAAGGGCCCGTCCCCCTGACTGAGGGGCCGACTGGATGAAGTTGGCCAAGGAGGATGTGCAGAAGCTACTGTTTATTTCTGCACTCTTAAAGTGTGGGTCAAAGGAGATGTGAAGGCTCAGCCACTGTAGCCAAAATCAAGATGGTCGGAGAGCAGGTGGTTATACACTCGGGCCTCCTCTTTCCTCTCTATCTCCTCTCCCTCTTCCTTCTCCTTTTCCTCCTCTAGCTCTTCCTCCTCTTTCTCCTTTTCCTTCTCCTTTTTTTCTCCTCTTGCTCTTCCTTCTCTTCCTCTTCTTCTTCCTCTTCCTCCCCCTCCCCCTCCTCTTCCCCCTTCCTCCTCCTCCTCCTCCCCTCCTGTGCTCAATACCCGGCTTCCCCACCTCATCCTTCACATTTCCCCAGGCCCCTTTCCTCCCCATCTCTGTCCCCATGTCCTTTTCTTGGTCAGGACAGTGGCATTCCCTCCTGCCCTTCTTCAGGAACAGTGCTCTAGTTCCTCCGAGCAGGGCTGGAAATGTCCCTCAGGACCGTTCTGCCTGTTTCATGTCTCTGAAGAGAGCCGAGGTCACGCCCTGTGTTCTGCCCAGTTGTTCCTCCTCTGTGACTTCCTCTCCTTATTACACCAGTTGCTTCCTGCAAAGGTTGATTGAGCTTAGGGGCTTTTTAGGAAGATGTGGAAAGGGTTCAGAGTTAGGAGCGAAGCCCACCTGGAGGCCACATGGGCTGGAATGAGCAGTTGGGTCTTTCACCCAGGACATTGAAGTCAAGTGTTTGTTTCCCTCACCCACAGGGACAAGGATGGAAGTCTGGATTTCACTGACAAGGAAGAAGGGGAAGTTGAAGATGATGCTCTGACAAATGAAGACTGGAAGTTTCTAAAACAGTTCCCGAGCTGGGAAAAGGAAGAGAAGAAGCGCATTAGAACGCTCTATGCCATCGCAGACCACATTGACAAAAGCCACCAAAAAGCTACCAAGACCAAAGTGGTGACTACCTCTGCATCAGTCATCTCTGGAGCCCTGAGTCTCCTGGGTTTGGCCTTGGCTCCAACAACGGCAGGGGCAAGCCTGGCATTCACTGCTGTTGGCAATGGTTTGGGGGCAGTTGCCGGGGTCACCAACATCGTGACCAATGTGAGGGAAAACTCTCGCAATAAAAGAGCCTTAGCTCAGGCCAACAGCATCATGCCTAGCAGTGACCAGGAGCTTGAGGAGGTCAAGGGAGAGAAGATGACCTATGTCACAGCCGCCGGTGAGCTTGTCTACAAATGTGGGAGTGCCTGGGATATCATCAAAAAGCACCTCCGAGCCCTGCGGGTAACCAGAACACAACCTCATGTCACCTCAGCTGCCAAGAAGCTCATGACTACTGGCCAAATATCAACTCGAAGCAGCAGGCAGGTGCAAAAGGCTTTTGGGGGCACAGCCCTGGCAATGACCAAAAATGCTCTGATGATTGGGCGTGTCACTGCTGCCTTGTCCCTTGGCCAGGACATATATACTCTCTGGGAGGACTGGAAGGATCTGAAGTCTGAAACCCCAACCGAGCTTGCAAAAGAGTTAAGAGCACGAGCTGGGGAACGGGAATTGGTGTTAGCAGAACTCACCCATCGCTATAAAAAGCTGAAGGTGAAGGCTGGATTTTGAAAGAGGCCTGGAGGCATAAGGTGGGATCTGTAGGGCCATGTAGATGTCATGTTGTGAAGTCTGCAGAGATGTCTCTCACCACGTTTCCATAGCTGTGATAAAGACCGTGATCAAAGGGTTTATTTGGTTTACACATCCCCGAGTCACAGTCCACCAAGGGAAGCCAAGGCAGTGAGAACCCAATCCTACTCCATCCTGGGACTGGCCTCCATCTTAAAGAAAAACACAAATAAATAAGGCCGGAGAATGACCTGCTGCAGAACCCAAGCTGCACCCACATACCAGGACGGACCCCACGGCTTGTCTTTGACCAGAGTTATTTCCTAGCTACTTCCTAGCAACAGTTAATCAAAGATTAGTCTGATTGTCTCAGATGTACTTTCAGACTGTTCGTGATTGTAAACAGTCTTGCTTCAGAGCACCCACCTGTCGGCTTACAGTCATTCTATTAGATGCTTGCCAGACTGGACCCCCCTCCCTCACCCCCTCACTTGGCTCCTGTTTTTCCTATAAGAACTTGTCCTGATGAGGGTTCAAGGCTACTCCACCTTCTCTTCCTGTCCTGCTGTGTCAGGGTTGGGTTGGAGGAGAGCCCAGGCCCGAGCTTGTAATAAAGAGACACTAATGGTATTACTTCAGAAACGGCTCCTTGGTGGTCTTTTGGGGCTCACGAACCCTTCCTTTCCTGGCATAACAGCAGGAGTTCAGGGGAGGAACCTGCATGCAGGAACTCAAGCAGAAACCAAGGAGGAACGGTGCTTCCTGGCTTGCTCCCACTCCATGGCTGTCTCCCTTGCTTTCTTATGCTACCCAGGGCCACCTCCCAGGAATGGCCCCACCCACAGTAAACCAGACCCTCCCACATCAGTCACTAATCAAGAAAACGCCCTACAGACTTGCCTATAGGTGATCTGATAGAGGGATTTTTTTTT